TCCTGAAAAAACACGTGCTAGGGAGGTTTGTTTTAAAATTTGGTTTACGTTTCGAAAGAGGTCATCACCACAGTAATTCATAACCAAAACAAGGAACACAAACTCTCACAGCAAAGACGTAGGAAGCATGAATTTGAAGATTTCCATTTTAAATTTGTGACGCTTGAACGATTGTTTAACCCCGTTAACTTCCAGAAGTGTTTAACATGTATCTTCTCCCTATAATATCCATTCATTACTCAACAAACAGGTCACGAGAATCTTCGAAATAATCAGGAACAAATTGCTACCAACACCAAATTTGTCTAACTAATTTTGAAGGAAATATGTAGCAGCTAGAGGAAAGAACCAACACTCAGATCTTGGGTTAAAGGGTTGAGCTTAATCTTAAGACGAAAAAAATCTGGAGTCTTCTTCAAGTATTAGTTGATGTTATTTTTTTACACATCTGTGCTCGCTGGAACATCGATATCTCATGGTAAGTTATTTATAAATCAAATATTTTACTCCCACTGAGGAGTACGTTCTATGACATCTAATACCCAGTGACACCACCAAAACATATTTAGTTAAACCGGGTTTAAGAACTGAAAAACTGAGTTTTCCATAGGATTCAAGTAGTCACTAACTAGTAGTAGTAATTAGTAAAGTGCTAAAACTGAAATCGATGGTCATCGGTTTAAGCAGCTTCTCTGAAGAAAACAATGTTCAACCTTGTTTGAGAAAATAGCTTTAAGACATGTTTAGGGTTTGGTGCGAATGGCGTTTAAAATATATATTATTTTGATGTGACATCAGATTTTCACAGCTTGTTTTGGAGAGAAACGTGAAACAGAGAGGAAGAAAACTCGATGTTAAGCATGATATTTGTACGGAAGCTGATAAGGGACAATTCCGACATGTTTTTAAAATCCATGATAGTGCATGATGTTCGTAACTTATTTCTCCTTCTCGTCCTTTGATTTCAACTAGCTTCTCGTGCAAGTAAAACATTTTTAGCGATTTTAAACAGTTTTTTGGGTTTCACAGAGAATTTGGTATCGCAATTTATAGTTGGGTTTCAAAAATAAGGTTTTTGTAAATCCAATAATTCGATCAGAATTTATAATTGCTTTTTAAATATCAAAAACTTTTCAAAAACGATTTGTGTAAAAAAAAAAGTGATTCCGAAATATTTCTTTTGGATTTCAAAATGATTTTGGGATTGTTCTGTATCGGCTTCCCTTTATTATGGACGACAAGGTTAAAAATAATCTTCCCTTGTTGTTAGCCTTTCAAATCTGTGAGGAGCTGTGATGTATTTACTATTTTTACTAGATATTTTAAGTTCTGGCACAGTTCCGGAGTCGAGAACCTTCAATAAAAATATTTTTGTGCTGTTCTCACGCCGCTGAACTTTTTGATTTGTGACCTTTTCAAAGTAGGACGCTTGCCGGATACAGTTTTTTTTTTTGGTAGTTTATAATTCTTTTTAGTCTGGTAGTTTTATGACTCATAATAAGACAAAATTAAGCGAGCCAGCAGTAGCAATGAGCCACATTCTAGCTTTTGATTTTCTTTTTCCCTCACGAGAGTAATTACGTATGTGTTTATTTGTTTTTGACCGTTGTAAGGACAGTTTTACCTTCCAAAAATAATTAAAAAAATAACAACTTGCACAACTGTGTGCAAGCTGTTGCACGCACACACTTTATTACACAATCGTGAACAATAACGTGACAAGCACGCCATTACACACGATTTCTAAAAGGTTCTCGTAAATTTCTAAACTTTTATCGCGATTTACGCCAGTCAACCCATACGTTGTTGCTGTTCACTTCGATAATTCTGCGAAATTGATAAAGGAATGTGATTATTTTGTTTTCGTAGGCTCGTTTGCTCGCGATTTGTGTTTGAACACATTAGCAACGAGTTTTTTCTTTTTAGTTCAATTTTCTGTGGAAGAGCAATCAACATTAAGATGTGTTTTCTCTCACCTGCTTACCACTTTATACTCATGTTTAGCCATATGAATCAGAGTAGATACGTGTCATTGTCCACATTACCAAAATCGCCTCACAATACTTCTCCTTTGGTTATGCAGGCTGGCAGCGGCTTTATTAACCTGTGTCTAATCTGTGCAGTACGGTAATGATCTTATTTATACTCAGTACGAAATTTTTTCAGCAAGGAAACGTCAAAACATCAATTATATAGACTTTCAATCTTATCTCGTCTCTCTATAACTGGTGCAAGTAAGCTCCGAAATTTCGAAACAAAAAATCCGTTTTTCGACATCACCTCATTTGTGTCAGGAATCTATTCGTTCACAGTTTACATAGAGATACCTTGAATCTTCTCCAAACCTTCAAAGCTTCAATCTCGTTTTTTCCTGATAGCCTGAACTCCTTTGACTCAAAAAATCAATCTAATGTACCTTTTTTTTAAACGCTGTACCAGCCACGAATCTAAACAATTCCACTGTTTAAAGCAGGCTTCACTGCTGTAACCACATGTTCGTTCATTTACAATATATACATCAGACTAAACAAAACATAGGGTTTTCACAACAAAATATTCGAACATTCCAACAGATTCAGGGCACAAAGGCCAATGCCTATAAATATTAAAACATTATAATAAAGCAGAGAAAGTTATTTATAACAGGTTATGTTAACAAAAATTTATCGCAAGAAAGTTCGCGAACAGGTGAAACAAGTTATCTTTGGAAGCTAAAGAAGTGAAATTACGGCAGATGTTAGATATCTTACAGAAAATGGTTCCGAGTATTGCAAGAATTTTTTTGATGAAATTTCTAAGATCTTCAGTGGAGTTCAACTATTTGTCGATACAAAAAAACCAAAACAGAATGAAAACAAATAATAATTAACAACCTTGATTTAATGTAAATTAACCACGCGGTTAAGTAAAATTTTCCTTAAATTATTTAATGAATATACGAAAACTATCCTTCCTCGAACGGAATACTTGTAGTTGTTTACAGTGCCCAAAAAAATTTGAATTTTTTCGTTGAAGTCAACTTTCCCTATGTATGCGGTAACGAAATTTTGTTGACAAGAATGGCGCGAGGAAATGGTGCGAGGAAATGCCAGTTTTCTTGTTATTCTCAGCGTCCAAAGAATGAGCAACTCTCAAGCGAAATATTTGAGCAATTATTATCATAGGTGACCCTAGCGCATACTTTTTCGTGTACCCACATACCTGTGAGTAAGTCTTTCCTAGACGCTTAATATCAACATTATCCTGCAGACTTCAGTTCCCTCAACTTGTTGCTGTGCCGTTGTTATGTATGAGCGAGGCACTGCTTTAAACTCACTGATTATCTCGGGGGAAGTATTTGATTTTACCTCTTGAAGTTACCATCTAAACTTGTCATTGGTCGTCCAGGTTACTTTCGTCTGCATATCCCCAAAAAATTCCTTATCACTTTCTGCTTTTTGGATATCTTCTGGCTGAATTTGCTGTTTTGAACCTTATCAAATGCCTTGAAATTTACTCTAAAACATCCGGGCTTGGGGTGGGAAGGAGCGAGCATTAAAAGACATATCAAATTTTCGAGATGAACTGATAAAAAGTAGTGTAGACTGAAAATCTTAGACAAAACAATTAGGACAGTTTGACATCTTCTTCCTCTATTTCACTGATATCAAAATGGTGCGTGTTCTATATCACTGATTGAGAAAGCTCTGAAGTTCAACCAATGTACACTTTATGGATCGCAACACTATCTTCAAAATCGGACTCCAAGTCTCCTTACTGCCATACATGCATCGTGTGATACTTTTGAGAAACTGGCGTTATACGTTATACCTCGCTATACCAACATTATGTTCCTTTGCTGATGGCGTTTTTTATTCTCCTAACCTGTTTGCATTATGGTTATGACTGGCTATCTGTCTGATTACTCCGGGTAAAAGGTCCAAGGTTACAATATGAAAAGTGAACAGCCGTCTACAGAGTCGAGGCAAATTATAACAGATGAATGACGAACTTCATGACGAACTTCGTGTCATTCTTCTGAAATAGAACTTGCTGTAAGATTTCTTGTCAAACTTTACTAGTCGGTTTTTTTGTCGTATTGGAACGTAAATTTTGAAATAAAAAGCAATAATACCTTACAGATGACTACATAATTCAGTCCTTTGGCATCGTAAAAGTTTTATTTTTGAGTACCTGTTCAACGTGCATTTCCGAAATTGTTCTCTTTTCCCGCATTTAGAATTGGTTTATGATTACTCGACCAAAGGAGAGTCATTGCTCAATTCCAAGAATTCGAAAAAAGTGATAAGTCACTGTACCCGTTTGCGAGAAAATGACCAATTACCTACCAGCGGGATCTGCTGAGATCTGATCATGGAGAAAAAGCCACCATTTTTTCATGTGCAGCCCCCAGTTACGTGTGAAATTATGCGCAGTAAGAATGTGCAATGAAATAAGACAGAATAACCTTAAACCTTCTTTGGATGAGCATTACTTTGCTCTGCAAATGAGATGCACATTTCTAAAGAAGCTACATAATTGACTTAACTTCCTTTTGAATGAGGAACGAGCCGTGTAATTTGTTATTGTCTATATGAATACTCGCAGTCTCTAAATACAATAGGTCAGGAGTGAATGAAAAAATAGAGAGACACTGGGCATAGACATTAACCGCACGAGTGGCTTAGGCAAATGAATACGTGAGTCCACGCTTACGACTCTTTTGCGCAAATCGATCTCTACCAGTGATCAATTTGCTTGTGACCTATGTGTTACCTAGCTATCGTAAGTGTTCTGTGATTTCTGTTATAAGACTCTCCGTGTACACATTATTTTCTTTCTGTCTAGATTAAGAGTGGATTCTGGATTGAGTAAAAAGCGACAAACACCGAAAGTTGCCGTGCGCCCAGTCAGACAAAGGACTTTTTTAAGGGAACATTGCACGATATTGAAAAGTAAATCGCGTGGTTTATGTTTTGCTTTTTGTGGAATGTGACGCTAAGATCGGAGGGATACAAATGTATAGTACAACACTGATTTTGCTTTAATGCGGACACGGTGGGAATTTTATGTTACACGAAAGAATTTAGCGTTATCATATTCCATAAGTAAGCAGGAACATTCGTTGTATTAAGTAATCTCGAGTGTTAATTCACTTTTCTCTTAAAATAATTTCGTCTCCAGCATTGTTTCAATTTATCTACTTGTCTGTCACCAAGGTCTCCATACGGGTAATACTGTTGTGTTGCTTAGTGACGTCACTATCGGAGCAGCTTCCTTTCTGCTGCCAGTGGTTTGCTTAATCACTGAGTCAGCAACTTTATTTGGCTTCTCTGTGGGTGAGGGAGGTGGTGACGGGTAAGGTAGCCATACAATAGTTGGTTGTTGTGGTGTTGTCATGGCAACCATGGGAGCTGAGACGAAAGTTGGCATAGAAGGTGACATCATTGGAATGGGCCTAACGTCAGCGGTCATTCCCATGAGAAGTTGGTCTTGTGTGAGATAGGGTATTTGAGGCGGTGCAACTAAATGTCTCTCTTGAGGACCAGTCTCTTTAAGCTCTGTTGTGTGCTCAACCAATGATCTTAATCCTAGGAAATAAACGACCATTCTGATCAATTTTAAGAAATCTTTCCATTTTGCGATAGGATTCAAAAACCTTTCGGGCGCACTTTTTTAAATACGTTCTCAAATTCTAACAGTTTTTTCACCATGTTTTTTAATTCAAATATTTAGACGTCTATAACTTATTTTTAATCTCTAAACTCGTCGAAACCTAAATACATGAACTAATGTCTCCAAACCCCGTCAAAATGCAAGAGGAAGTGTGAGAAATCCGAGAAGGACTGGTCTCTAGATTCCGATAGGACAATGGCCGTGCGTGGGTGTGTTTGTAGTCTATGTGACAGCCGTCAGCAATAAACTGAGACAGGAATGTATAATAAACGATGTCTCTGCCAATCAAAGTTAATCAGTTTCGGGCAAAACTACAACCAAAATGGTTTGCTCAACCAACCTGGCTGCATTCTTTGTCTTGCCTGGGTTCCTTTCAAAAACTGCACAGCCATCTCCAGAATGTCAGCTTTTTCCATCTTTGAGTAGCGAGAAATCTGAATTAATGAGAAATAGATTGCGTAAGTAAAAAGTAATTTTACTTTAATTGAGAGAATTGCCAATCTCGTCGCCTCAGAGAAATTCATACGAAAATAGATTTAAATAACAAAATACATAAAAACAAGGTTTATCAAGTATTTTTGTGAACTTACATCTTTATTGAGAGCTTCTAACACCAAGTGTTTAATTTCGTCCAAGCTGCCATTTATTCTGTCACGTCTTAACTTCTCAATTCTTGGCTTCTGTGCCTGAAAGTTAAACACCACAAATATTTAGAATTACTGATCATCGTCTACATAAGATGTTTGGCGGTTGCATTCATCTTTTTTGATTCTTTACAGATCCTTATAGGAACGCACTTCAACCTGCACTTTAAAAATGCTGATTGTGCATCATCGGTCCCATTCCCCTTCGAATTTCCACGGCGTAATTCCTCCGAAATAAAGATACCTTACGTAAATCCTTAAAAAAAAAAGGAAAAACAATTTTCTTCCTGCTTGATGCGTATTAGTTTTGTATAACTTTTACAAGTAAAAAGCTACTGGACGATGTTCACCACTCCTCAAACTTGTTTGAATTTTTTTAGCTGAACAGTTTCATTACGCAGAGCAGTCAAATGATATTTCCGAAATTCTTAAAGAATAATATGGAAACACAAACCTTTCTCCGTTCCACTCGAATTTTACCGATAAATTCTGTCGTATCATGCCCTTGATACTCCATAATTTCGAAATGAAGCCTTAATTCGCTGGGCGCGTGTTATGAATCTGGTGTCTGTGGGCGAATAGTTTGCGTCTCTCTACTACGTTAGCTATTTAACGTCAACAAAGCCACCTCCTTCTCGCAGAAAATGCTTTCGCAGTGACTTCATTGTCAAATATTTGTAAACACTTTAGTGGAAACATAGTGTTAAACAATAACCTTAATAGTTAAGGACTATCATATTAACTTGACAATAGCAGCGACCGTGGGAACGTGCAATTCTGATTGGTCCCTGCTGAATAGGCACATGCCGACCGCTTGCGACAAAACGACGAAGGAGGTAACCCACGCGTGACGAGTGTGAGAAAAGTCGTCCGATTGGTCAGTTGCTTCCAAACCTAAACCCGTTTAATTAGTGGCAGGATGTCGAAAGAAGCTCTGCTCAAAAACGCGAACTTCATATAACGTGCGCGGGTGCAATCAGCGACACCAATCTTTTTTTCGCGATTTTTTTTTTCCCCGCCAACCAACTCCCCGTTCAACCTCGTAGTACTCACAACAAATAGTTCTCACGGAAGTTATGTACGCCTGGACGCATTTCGCTCCACGTGTGTTTATAAAAGGGAATTTGCTTTTTTTCTTGTGTCTTTAGTGACAAGCTTTTGTTATGCGTTTCACACGGGGAGACACACAAGATTTGAATAACAAAAGCATGGTTTATTTTCCCACGGTAAGATCGATTCTCAGCGTCTATTTGTGCTTCACTCTGCACTTGAGCCGAAAGTAAAGTGAGTTCCAAGGATAGTTTCGATGCTGGTGGTATGATAAATGAGATGATTAAGCATCAGTTTTTAGCATGTTTCTATTATTTCATTGGAAAATAATCCTTCGGTGGGGAAAATGCCTAAGATGTTTTGACTACATGTCATGGAAGCTAATGACTCCCTCGGTCATTTTATTATTTGTGTTATTTCATTCCGCATCAAAATGTCATTTACTCAGGCGAAACTGAGAAAAGAAATGGCCAGTTTTAAGCTTGCAAAGCGTGCGCTAAAATTATTTTTTAATTGTAGTTCGAGACTGTCATTAGTAGAAAGTGGATAGGTTTCGAACTTTGATAAAAGTTGAGAGTACCGGTGGCCACAGCAAATGTACATCAGATGACATTTTCGAATACTGATCAAAAGAAAAAGAATTATTAAAAATAAGAAGTTGAACTAAAGCCTTTTGAATTGTGTCACAATTTAAAGTAAAGGCGGGAATTTTTTAATAAAAGCGAAAGGTTATGAAAGGTAATGGACTAAATTTATACATTAAACAAAAATAATTTTGACAGGAGTTTTGATAACAAGTTTAGAGCTTACCTTGAAAATTTTCTGACAAGTCTGAAACTTTAATGTGTAGAAAACTCCTTACAGACTTTCGTGAAAACACGTTAAAATTCATAAGGCGGTTAACTTTGCAGAAAGCACACTTTACATTACACTTACTTCAGTAATCCGCGATACATTCTATAAATCTCAATTCTTGCTTATTGCGACAAAATGCTGAACGAAACCGAAAGGTAATCCGACTGTCACTCAGGAGGAGTAAGACCTACGGATGGTCGGTTATATTCTAAACTAAGTGACGTTCAACGCCTCAAGGGACAATTTATCACAGACATGCGTTTATTTCCAAGCTGGGGACATTTTTTCTGAGCCTTGACCCACAAAAGACAAGTTTTAGTTTGGTCAGCATAAACATGTTTGACTAACCCTACTATCTGTCTGAAGTCGGCTGAAACATTCTTAAAAGACCTCGAAAACAAAACTATAATTTGTACCAGAATGCTTGTACGTGACCCAGCGCGAGTTTTCTTCTTGCGATTTCTAAAACACTAATTGGGCTCTAAATGGAAGCGCATACGAAACCAAAATAGAGATTAGTGATATTATTACCACTAGTGTTAATTGCTGCACACAACAAACAATCCGCGTTCTTTGATTTCCTGGTTGATAATTCGACGTCACAATAACAGACCTGACCTAACTAAACAAGCAGAGACAAGTTTGGAAATTTGAATATCTGCAAAGACTTTCACAAGACTTATGATAAGCAAAATAAACTCAAGCTTTAAAACTCCTAGATGTCCCGTGTGTTACGCAACATTTATTTTGAAAAAGGAACCGTTTAAAGGGCCTCATTCAGAATATTTTTAGATAATTGACTAAAAAGTTGAATTTTACTTGTTTGTAGCATTTGTACATCATTGTGAAGATAGAAGCTCGATTTTTGTCATGAATTTAGTAATTGGATTTCCCCGTCTGGAGAAAGATTGGGTTAAGACTAACAGCATTAACGCAGCTAAAAAGAAAAGAAAAGTTAAAGAAAAGAGAATGACCAGCCCGATGATGTTCATCACTGCTAGGAAATGACAATGTTAAAAAAAATTTAGGCTAAGTATTTCACGTTTGAAAGATTGTGAGATAATTTCTTTTCTCCACAGTGAAAAGCGACATAGCTTAAAGAGTGTTAACGACCGAAAAGTTTTTGAAATCTGTAACTAGAATTTGAAATGTTCAGAGTTTCAGTTGTAAAACGATGAAACATTTAGCCATTAGGCGAAAAAAATTGACAAATATTAACCATAAATCATTAGTAAAGTTAAACGTAAATTTTCCGTCGCCAAGTGACAATCTTTTTTTTCCGAAAGTGTCAAATCAACTGTTGGCCGTGTGGCCAAAATTTTAACTATTAGCCGTAAAAACCATCTGATCCCATTTAGAACTTCTTTGAAAGCCACCTATTCTACAGGCTTTTTCATCTCTTCCTTTTCACTTGAAAAGCTTGAGGATTAAGATATCCGGCCTCACAGTCCTCTTTAGTATATGCCACACAGGTATAGTGCTTTCCGCGCGCGCTGATTGGCTAGTTCGGAAGTGAATAGCAAGTACTATTCACCTCGAACAGGCGAGGAGACAAAATCGTGCGTCAACAATTTAATTTCTTACCATTTCTGAATGGAATAAACTAAATTTTGCCATCTGTGAGGAAAATATGAAGACAATTATTGACCTCAGTATCGGTGAAAGTAGTGAGTATTTACCTCCACTTTGTGAGTAATTTTTTAAATACTGTCAAACTTCAAACGATCTCGACTTGCTCTTAGGGTTCACAGGATAGGTAATTTCTGACGTGGATAAGATACAAATTGTGATCATTAACAAAATTCCATCGAAACACACATAATTAGGTCAATATAAAGGATGTAAATACTTAGTCGGATACAAAGTTTTTTTGAGGTGTGCATTGTACCAAACAATAATTTCATTAAATCCTAAACATAAGGGTTTTTAAAAGGGTTTACACGTGCAAATTCATTTTGAGTGTCACAGCTACCACCCGGTTATAGCATTGAGGGCTGACACCGTATAGCTCGGTATATATCACTGGGTCGGCAATATTCGAGGTAAACGGACAAAGTTATGTTAAGGTATGTCAAATTATGTCAAGAAGTAACAAGTTTACCCGCATCTTATAATAAATTCCTAGAGACGATTGATACGTACGTGATACGAATTGCCATATTTTTATTAGCTAGGCTACATCTTCTCGATGTAACTCAGAATTTTCATTACTAAGACGTAAATAAATATTTATTCAGTTGGGAGGAATTTAGAGTCAGACCGTGAATATGATCCGAGCTCTGCCTTTTTTAGTTAAGTACAAATTTTGTAACATGGTGATGAAATTATGGGAACATAGAGTAACAGAGTCAGACTGTGAACATGATCTGAGCTCTATCTTATTATTGGTATAAAATGTTTTACCAATGCTGTCGCTGAAAAATTACATAACGCGGTGATGTATGATGTGATTATATATATTTACGTTAAGCAACAATTCGGACGTATGATATTACGATCTCAGTCTGAACTACAATTATCGCCACCCAGGACCATAACTAAGAAAACTTTAGGAGATAGATCATTTATGGTATCTGCTCCTAAACTTTGGAACAGATTGCCATCAAATATAAGAGCAGTTAATAATCTTAATTGTTTTAAAACACTTCTTAAAACACATCTCTTTAGACAGGCATTTTCATGTTTGCTTTTATAGTTCGTTTTTAGTTAGTCAAATTGTATATTCTTAGCCTTTTATAGTTCGTTTTCATATTTTATTTTGCTTAGTCTTATTGTATAGCGCATTAGATCATATCCACATGTATTTTGCGCTATATAAGTAATAAATTATTATTATTAAATTATGAAATTCTGGGAACACCTCCCAAACGATTCTCTCTTCATTGATCAATAGGCAAGAAAAGGACTTCTAAAATGATCTGTGCTTTGATCAAGATCAACCAATGGTTAAGTTGCAAAAGATCATGTTTTTTTTTATCACTTTCTATCCTCTTCCCAGAGCTGAGGCTTAACATCATATGTTCACTTTGCGTCTTTATCATAACAAGATCAAAGGGCACTGTGGTGCAATGAAAGGAAACCAACTCATCACATGATTATCAACTACAGCTATTTATAGAGGACCTCTGGATCATAACATGATGAGCTTTTTGGTGGACTGGACTGGTTTCAACAGGAAGATAGAAGTGTTATGAATGATTTACTTGCTCAATACTAAACTTTCTTCATTCATACACAAGGAAATTACCTTTTAGCATCAACGAGAGTAAAATAGTGGTGTCAATTTCAACCCACTTATCTTACAGATACCATTTCATAGCCGCAAAGTCTATGTTACTAAAGCGTTAAGTCATAATCCCTTTTTTATTGCCCGGGATAATCGCCTTTTTCACGCTTTACTGGCCTACGGGAGCATAAGCTCCCAGCTTGAATTTTAAAATTTGCCAATTTCATTATCTACCAATGCATCTGTTCCATTGGCTTGTTCGAGGCACCCTATTTGAATGATTTTTTACAAAAGGAGTTTGCCTCTGAGGTTTTCATATCAACTTCAAACGATAAATCATGTCTTGTAGTCCCTCCACCCGTGGTATCCGTTTATAAGCGGTAACTCTATCTCTCCTCGTATGGAAAGTCGAAAATGTAGTTTCCGTCCTCTTGCCTCAAAAAGGGTGGTCCCTAATTGAATTAACGCCCAATTTCCGTCTTATAGAGGTCTTCTGTTCTTAATGAGACAAGGAAATCGTTAGTAATCGAATGTCTAGCGCCTCCAAGATTACTGTCTGAACAAACACACCTTTTTCGAATTTCAACTGATAACACTGAACAGGCAAACTAGTAGATATGGAAACATTTCTTCTCCAGAAGATAGATATCTATAGGTAAGCTACCACATGGGGTGATCTCCTTTACAATACACCAAGTCAGTTGTCATAGTTGATAATAAGCGATCGAGACAAGGTCGAAAGGGCAACAGATCTGTGACTGTCCGGTAATTTTGTTTCTGTATTTTCAACAAGCTCTGTTACTTATAGCACACTTCAGTTCCTCCCTACCCCGCTCATTGCTTATCATGCATCTTCAGCTTTTCTTCAACCTTGGGCGGCTTCGGGAAGTTATCCACTGAGTCGCTTTTTAAGGTCACACAACAACCAGAATCTTTATTCGTTAATGTTAGAGATACAACCTCTAAAATACCTGTAGAGAGAGCTTGTTAAAATGAAACCGAGCCAAGACGAGCAGGAAACATCAAAAAAAGGGTGGCACTTATCAGTCATAAGACTCAATCAGTACGTCCTTTAGTTTTTTTCAAGATTTACAGTTGACGAATAATACCTTTCTTAAGACGAATATGTTATCTCCAGTAGCGGAACCACGATGTCCAATTCGTAAATTTGTCACCCAAAAACGCTTAAATTTAATACAACATGATCATCCCTTTGTTGACGGAAACCGCAGAAAATCGTGTCTGGTATTGAACTGCTTTGTAATTTGCTCCATACTCCATTTCCTCGAATCACCTCGAATGACTGAGTTTTTTCCTGCTTAAAAAAAACAGTTAACTGCTAAGGGAAATGTGTAGAAAACACCTAATACAGATGAACTAAAGATAAGGAGCCCTCCATTTGGGTGTGATTGTATTTATGAAAAAAAAAATCAATGAAAAGCGGACGCATGGGATTAATAATAATAGACAGACATTTGCTGGTTTTTCAACTAACACTCTCAAAGTTAATTCTTTCCTCTCTAACTCCCGTTACTTTTATGTCAACTCTGAAATGCTAAAAGGTAAAAACACGGAGAACGATTTACCATTCAAGCCACTTTTTTCCCCGTATGATATTAATTTTTCTAAGGACTTTAAGCCAAATAAAGAACATAGGCCCCTAGAAAGAAGATGATAATTTAGTCTGCGATGGTAATATTCTTGTGTCCATTAATAGATCGCAGCTACAATCGCATTTGCAACGTCTGAATTGCTATAGAACGAGCATCAAATGCTGCCAAATGATACTAATAGGAAGATGTTTATTCACAAACATTTGAGTCAATGACTGCCCCAGCCATTCGGCGATATTGGTCGAGTATTTAAGTGAACAGAAATTCAGGATTATTCGGCACGTCAGAAATCGTTTTAGCACAAGGATGAATCCAGACTTGAGTTGAAAGCATCCACCGATTTAAGCTGAAATAAATCATAGGTGGCTTACCTCTAGAAAATAAAACTGGCAAGCAGAGAGGTGTTGAAGAATCAAATAGGACTTTACTAAATTAGCTTATGAATAATGTTCGCTCAAAGACGAATTTTTGATTAAAAAATGGCCAGTATACTTGAATGAGTTTAAAACCGATAAGAGAGCAAAGGTTGCGTAAATTACCTTTTTTTGTGATTCCATACTTAGTGTTGTATATGTTTCAAGTTTATATTATTGACAAATTTCATTTACTTCATTGTTACCCACTTCTGGTGCCCTTACCAGCGTAAAACATTGCTACCTTTTGCTCGCTTCGGGCACTTGCAAATTAAGCTTTCAATTAAAAAATAAAGAGGTACATTCTACTTCAGGGTAAACACTGATTCTTTCAGTACAACGGCTTCTGAAACACGGCTGTACCTGTAACTTCGTTGAAAACAAAAGCGGCATCTTCTGCCGCTACACATAATGAATTCTAGTTGTTTATGTACAATTTTGAAGGTATGATTGATCGAGTAGTAGGTTTCTTCATGACGAGCCTAAATATCCAATTAATTCAAACACGCCGCGATAAAATTAAAGGCATTTGCATTTTTCTGTTTTCTTTCTTCAGTCTTGGAATAATTTCCCTCCTTTACCAAGAATAACACATTGGGAAAATTTATTATCAATTATCTGTTCCGAGAGCATAATCATAACATGAAAGTGTCAGCTTTAATGTTCTGTTGTCTGCTAGAACAATATTCAACACACTCGGGTATAATACGGCTTTTGTTTAATGATGCTTATATGCATAAGCTGTGTCCATTATCGTTACAATTTACACATATACTAAATGTTTAAAAACTGACATGGAATCCTGCCCTTTTGATAAATCTAAAAAAACGTTCAGTTCGATGATCTGCAAATTATGATCGCATAAGCTAAATATCGTGCGACGAGAATTTTTTTTAACTGGTGATAAGTATTAAATCGCATGAGTTGATATCTGCCTAAAGGTTTATTAAAGAATAAGATTATTCTCTTAGAGGAAACCTACTTAACAGTTTAAAATGAGATCGTTTGTTAAGAAGTAGCTTTTAATTTCAGTATTTCTGTCTGATAGTGATCGGTGGTATTCTTTATTTACGGGTTGGCGAAACAACAGGAACAGGAAACGAGAAGTTTACAGATTTCTTATTTTTAGGATCTTAACCGGATTTTACCACTTAATTTTCTTCACACTTCTGTTCTCCCGAACGCATCCTTTAGCTTTCTCATTTCTTAAAAATCATGAAAAAAAACAACAACAACAACAACTGATGAAAAAGCTGAGGAGGTTAAATTTTTTTTAACACTGTCACTTCACTTTACTGTATGGCTTTCCGTGTTCACGTTATTTTGTATGAATTAAAGGTAATTGATTCGATTATGAGCTCAGTTGAGATATATGACTGATTGTCAAACATAGACCCGTATCAGTGTCTCCATTATAGCAGAACAAACAAAACTCCACCTGGCGTCGTGTTCAATACGTGCTGTACCAAGGGAATGTCGTTTATTTCACATTTAGTTCGCGAGTCGTTCTACCGTGGGAAATTTTCGCCTCCTTTTGTTATTGAAATATAGTCTACAAAGCCCGATTTAAGTGTAAAGAAAGATAAACTGATAAAGAACGAGACAAACAATGAAAAGAATACCTGTTATGTTTTCTGTAGCACGTGGATTATAACAGAATGACTTAAACTTTCTAAAACGGTCAATATAAAACTTATTAGAGGGCTCTGGAACCACAAATTTTGCTGGGAAAAGAAAGTATCGCTTTTATAGAAGCTGCGAGAATGGTCCGTCATTTACGGCACGTGCTCCAATAGCCTGGATGCCGAATTTCAAGAGGCAGAGATTGTCATTTTGCTTTTGTTTTAAAAGTTTGAATGTACAAGTAGCAAAACCATAATTACATGAAGTGAATCACGGGCCTGTCAGCCAATCAGATTCGTCTGGTCTCACGCTCTTCACGCGCCGCTGAAGGCGGGAAACAATACAAACGACGGTTATCGTGCGACTCTAAGCACTCAGCCAATCAGAGGCGACTGTTCCCACGGTTATGGCTTTGTGTATGAAGCCAGTATTGTTTAGGCAGCAAGCCGATTGTCACTGGACAGGTGTTTGTAAATAAAACTCATCTAATGTCGGCACACGACCCTGATTTTTTCCCACGACCGATGAATATAAATGTGATCGCATCATGCATGTCGGACAGTTCGCGACAAACACTCGCAGAGTTAACATCTCCGAGAAACCTCTGTAGAAAAACTAAATAGCAAACTTCAAAAATATGGCCGTTGAATGCTATGACGGTGCAATTTATGTTAACAAGATTCTCTCTGAAAGAAGAAAGGTAAATTTCTTATGTTCATGACTCTGTTATTTGCTGATGTGTCATTTTTCAACAGATCGCTTGCTTACCGGCAAACTTGTCACTTACAACATGACCTTTCCTTCTGCAGGCAAAGAAGCCTTTGATGGAAAAAATGCGTAGAGCAAGAATCAATGACAGCTTGAATGAAATGAAGGGCTTGGTTCTAGATCTCCTGCATAAAGATGTAAGTTTCTGTTTTTTGTCCGTAGTTAAACAAAATCAGCTCTGGGCTGAAGTTCCTTGCCATGAAAACTTGCCCGCCGCAGACTCTGATACAATGTTATAAATGAGTTTCAGCGTCCATATTAAACTTAGACTAAATTCCGAGCAAAATATTCAAACGAATATTATGTCTTGTTTAGGCTTCTCGTTATTCCAAAATGGAGAAGGCTGATGTTCTTGAGATGACTGTGACTTATCTTAAAGCTTTACAGCGAAAGGATTGCCGCTCTGAAGGTAAGACTTGACTTCGTGAAATTTTGCTTAAACAATTCATTCGTAGAAGTGATGATGTGTTAATTAGAACTAGAACCGGCTTACGAATTTATGAAACACTCAAACGCAGACGATAATTGGATTATGAAATTCTCATGCGACAAACGGAAGATATTGACAATCTTCCCTTCATCATTTTTGCACGGCAAGCATAGTATAAGACATACCACGCTTAAATATCGTATAGTTCTTGCCTGTTTATAATTAGTCGATTTGAATAGATTTTCAGGAGGAATTGTGACTTGTAGCTAGATTAAAATTCACTAGCAACGAGTATTTAAGCTAGATTTCGTTCTCTTTTAGATCCTCAGTCACTAGCCGAGTACAGAGCAGGCTTCAATCAGTGTGTGAGCGAAGTCAACAGAAGCACGACCTGTGGAGGAAGCGAGCAACTCAGGGAAAAACTCTTGTCACACTTGGCTTCATGCTGCCATAGCAACGCCACTAATCATGTCGCCACGAGCCACGCGTCAGGGATTCCCGCCATGACTCCGAGTTTTCCCGCCATTGCGCCAAACAACGTCTGGGTTCCATATCCTTCACCACCGCCATCTCCAACAAACCAAGCTGCAATTTTTATTCCTATAACAAGTCCAGTGAAAACTGAAATGCTAAGAATAGCATCTCCGGTCAGTCCATCGGCGGTTCAAACACAGAAAATCAGCCTCTCGCCCGCGTGTTCTCCAAGCGCCGCTACAAAGACACCGCTATGGCGTCCTTGGTAACCAATGAACTCTGAACTGTATTTAAAATACTAGAAATAAGCGCTACAAAGAAGACGCTCACGCAAATCCACGGCAGGATTCCTGTCATAATTTAACGCACTGAGTGTGGTTTCGATATTTGCTTTTCTTCGCCGGCGTAAATAATTATTGTATATAGCTTTTTTAAAGATTATTATGAATGACAGAGTGAAAGAGATTATTTGTAAATTTTTATGCAAATTACTGCTTGGCAGTTTATAATAAAGAAAGGATTAATTTAATGAAAATTTGCGGTTTTCTTTTGGGAGGAGCAGATATAGTAATCAGTAATTTGCGATGGAATAATGCACACTTCCAGCGGTCTAAAGACTTAGGAAAGATGATCTTAATTCGATTTTTTTATGACCATTCTCCTATTTGAAACTGCATATCGTACTCTGAAGGAATCCTACCGGCCCTTAGCCAGCCATAGCTTATGGTCCAAAAAGTTAACCTCAGATCATTGAAATTTCGAGTATTCGTGACTGTGTTCTGCCGTGACCAGCCGCCTTTATTGTCAGACAATGTTAGAGAACTCGATTTTTGCTCGAGTGTAACTAGGCGATGATGAAAAATTTGAATCGGGTCATAGAGACCCTCTGGATAAATGCACCTATTACAGTTTACCGCTACTTACGGAATAGAGCGAAAATTATGTAAAAGCCAGAGCTCGTTGAACTGTTAATTGCGCAAGGTATTTTGGTGTTATCAACTGTGTTGATAACGTAAATTTGCCACTGTAAAGAGTTTCAAAGCTAACGTTTCGAGCGTTAGGCCCTTCGTCATAGCGAAGCCCTCAGCTCAACTCGGTTAATAATACCAAAATACCATGTTAAACTCTCCCACGGAACAGAACAACAGTTTCTTTAGAACCCAACCCCCTTTGTTAATTGCGCAAATTAACACTGTCGAGATGAGTTTTCTTTAGCCAAATTGAATTTTCCTGGCACTCGAGACTTTCTACAACATAGCTCAGACGTTTTGGTTAAACATTTCCTCTTAGGACTTTCTTTTCCTTTCCGATACAACTTCAAAATACAACTTGATGAAAAGTATACCCACACACCGATTACTGACGTTCTTTCAACAATTCAACAACGATGCCTATTCGGCCTTTATTGGTTTCATACAGCAACAAAAAGTTTAAGATAAATTTTATTAAAGTTTTGGGGCTATGAGATGGAATCATTTCGGACCTGGTGTCGCTTAGAACGCATGCGCCTCACCAAGGCCGCCAAATTGTTTGTCTGTCAGTTCTTCTCTTTTGATCGTAATTCAGTTCCCTGAAAGGCTTTCGCTTTACAGCGTGTTTTCGAAAATCCTCGGTCGTGTTTCCAATTAAGCTGGATCTGGTAGAATACATCTGTGACTGACTCGAAAATGGTTGATCAGAGACGTCTTCGTTGTCACAGAACTTAGAATTCTCAGAACTAACGTCTCTGTCTAAGATTTTCATTTCATTTGTTTGTTTTGTTTGCTCATTCGTTGAACAAATTGACAGTTTACAGTTGTTTCCAGATGAAGGTATGAGGGCACTTGACTCTCTCTGGCAGATTTCTACTGTCCCTTGGTCTTCTGCGACATTTTCCAAACGTTCTGCAAGGACAGTGATACAATTATGAGTGAATATGGATGACTTAAAGCAATTATACAAACCGGTATATCACTAAATGTGACAATATTGTGAAGCCGACGCCCTCTGAATTTGGGTAGTTCCAAAGTGAACAGCGAGCGAATAATTAAGTTTGGATGAGATAAAAGAACAATTCCTACCTTTCTGCCGTCTGATATATTGTACTGTGAGTTTAAGGATGTCCGCTTTTCCGATCTTCGTCTGAAAGGGAACAAATTCAACCAAAATTAAGCATGAATTCGTCCTTCAGTGAGTTTAGTTCAAAACGTGTTCCGCCCGCGCGCCAAAATGCGCGGGGATGAATCAAAACAGACTGTGACAAGTATTTTGAATGTAGGCAAAGGCAGATGAAAATGAATGAGAGACCACAAGCGCGTGCAATATGTGAAGTGCTGATCAGAGTCTGCTAATAAAGCCTGCTTGGTTCTTTGGAGCGGGTCACACCCTCCATATGGCAAAAGCAAAATTTTCATTCAATGCTACGTATTCAGCAACAAAAATTGTTGAATTCTTTCTATCATTGTGGCGAAATCAATGGTTTTTAGTCACTGAATAAAGCCTACAACAAATTTTGCAATACTTTCATGAACTTATTTTCATTATTTTGTTCAAGATCGATTCCCCTTTCATTTCAGCTGTTGAGAAGCTTCAGGGTTGTTTTTTTTCGAAGTGTTTCATTTATAAAAACATTTTGGAATAAAGTTTTTAGCCATGGGTATTCAGCAACTTCAGAGACAAGTGCAAAAGCCAGGGGAACCGGCTGTCTTATTTTAGGTTTTTTTAGCTCGAGGCTTGCCATTGATCGTTCGTAAGTACGTCAAGAGGATACTTGGACTGAAACAACTCAACTCACGTGTTCGATCGAAGGTCCAAGCACCAACTCCCTGAGTGCGTCAACGCTCTTGCTTATCCTTTTGCGTCGAAGGCGATCTTGAATGGATTTGTTTACCTGTCAAAAGAAACGAGTTTGCTGCTAAGAGGAGCGTTGAAGGAGAAAATAATCAGAGATCTCACTGTTCTTCACAACTGAATAAAAATTTAGCATCGTTGCAATTCAGAAGGGAAATTGATTCAATTGTTAATTTCGAACTCGTATGAGTCTCTGGGATTAAATTGTTATCCTCGCTTAATGCACTGACTGCGTGTAATTAACAACACTATACGGCCTGAAATGTTCTGTTTTAAATGTGCTAACGCTGTCATTTGAATTTGCTCTAAAATTTCAGAGATTTTTTCCCCAAGATTTCTTAACACAGAGAGCTGTCTCTTACTTAACTACAAATACCACTCAAATAAATGGTTCTTTTACCTCACGCGCGCGTAGTGAGGAGAGCGCACTAATATCGCTGAATTCTCAAGCCGAGAACAATAAACTGTTAATCCTGAAGAAATTTTCTCAGCCTCGTCACGAAAACCGCAAAAGTTTATGGTCAAACATATTTCAGTATGGAAATATTCATGGAACAAACAGGTTTGAGGGTTGATTCTGACGCGAATCATTCAACAAGACTATTGTTTATAATTACATATAAGAATTTACAACGAGCCATTACTTCATATCTTAACTTACCTTTTTATCCACTGCACGAGTTACTGGAAATTTCATGGCAAAAAGTTTTCCTCTCTACTTCCTGAAAGATTCTTAGGATTTCTGATCTTCGATGAGACAATCGCTGTGAGACGTGAGCTGCAGGCCGATACCGTTCTCTTTCGCCAGATGCGTCCAAAATGATTTATTTAAGCCTTGTGCAAGAGGAAATAAGTTTTACAATACACGCAAGCCAGAGCCGCGTTCAATGAAAAGAACCTATTAACACCTGTTGCCAACAATGATGCGACTTAACAAAGGTTAGGATTTGAGCGGCAGATTTAAGTTTTAAAAGAAAATTAAATCCTCGTAACAGATGAACGTAAGCTAGAGTGCCAAGAAGCTCAGTTAATTTAAGTTTGAATTCTTAAAAGCACGAAATAGGCTCTCAGTGTATAAACAGTTTACATTTTTGAGGCAAACGTGTCAGCGAGGAGTGGGCGCACGCCGCATGGAATATTAAACTTCCCGCCAATTTTCCCGCGAATTTCAACCAGTGGCCCTGTTTGTTATTTGTCTTCTGAAGCACCTGGATGCTGCCGTAATCAGTCAAGGCTCAGAGACATAGTTGATAGAATAGTCTTGAGTAAAATATCCGTCACATTTCTCTTTTTCAGGTTTAGAATTAAGATGAAAGAAAGCAAACTAAGTAACTATCCTTGGATCGACATAGAGCGGACGAAAAGTCAAAATACGCGCCAAAACATCCGCTATTCAAAAGACACGTGTTTCAGTCGTTTTTTAATTAAATGTGCTTATGTCGTACACAGGTGTGGCCTATAACAGCTTTAGCTTAAAGTTACGAAATAATTTTATTTGACGAAGACACGACATTTCGCTTTTGTGTCAGACACGAGCTTCAAAAATCAATGGCAGTGACAAAATACACTGCAATTAACCACGACAAAAGTTGGTTGTAATTACGGAACAGCTTTGGACAGTGGCTACAATTAACAAAAATTGCGGTTTAGGCTACGAAGTTACCATGCACTTTTGAAACAGCTTAGTTGTCGAATGATGAAAATTTTTAATATCCGACACTTTCCTTCTCTCATTCATGAAACGGGTTGGAAATCCTGAACCGAAAAGGAACTTGAACTGTAGAAGTTTAAATCGAAGATCTAACTTAATCGGCAAATGTAGTAGGTATTTTTAGGTGGTGGGCTTAGAAGTTCCGGAACTCGAAAGCGGAATTCGAAATGAAGATTGGAGATTCTTTTACTTGCTGAAAATAGAAAAGATTGCATTCAAACAGAAAATTTCGAAAATTCTCTTTTAATTCAGAATTTCAATTTGTCCTCTTTAAGGCACGTGCGGCATTTGCATCAAAAAACCAATTCAGTTAAAGCGTGGCAGTTTTGCCTCAACTAATTAACTGCAATACTCATAGACATCATTTGAACGAAGCAATTAGCAGGTTTCTTTACTATTCAGAACAAACATGGCCATTTATTTCGCTAAACGATCAGGTGTCAATAACTCGTGCCGGCTCGCACGTGGAATATTTAATTTCCCGCCAAATTTTAAATGATTAATGGCCACAGACTAATTTCCATCTCAAACTAGCTAAGCACCTTGCTTAATATCAGGTCCTTTCGCGAAGAAGAGCACCTCGCACAAATGCAGCTCGTTAACTCATGAATATCGTGAGCAAATTTTTCATCCAGTTCACAGAAGTAGTAGTCTGAGACGCCTTGCGATTCGTCTATGAAAGCTTTTCAAGAGAGTAAACCAAACGGCGGATGACGCATAACGCTATCCAATGGGTAAATCGTTATCCAGCGGATAAGTGTTCAAAAAGCGAACTGCACTATCCAACGGATAGAGATTTATCCATGCAGTGGATAGCATTATCTACCCTTTAAACAACTGGGACCAGAAGGATTCCTTAAAGAATCGAACTCACTCAAGATGGATAACCTGTTGACTACGTCTTGAAAAAGGAATTTAATCTTTTAATTTGCTTATCTAGCAGGATTCACAGTCCCAAAGTCCTGAGTTACTTTATATTTTTATAATAGCAGCTCACATCAAGATTTGTCTAATTTCATTTGTTTTCTTGCCGATTGTCTTTCTTGCCAGTGTGCGCATGCGCAAGCAAACACATCAATCGGATTAGTTGTCCATGTTGGAAAAAGGGTAAAGTACGATACGAAGTCAGCGATAATTTTATTTTAGCTTTAAATCCCACAAGAGATTCAATGACATGGCAAATGTTGTTTTTCCGTACCGTGATCACAAAAGCTTTTTTTTTTTTTTTTATAAAACCTTTGTAGACACCGGCAGACGCTTTTCAGCTGCATAAGCGTATATACAGTACGCAAGAATAATCATGACCGTTGGAATTCAAGTTTTTCATCAATGACACAGGTGTAATCAAAAGAAAGAACTTCGGAGTGTTTCCAAGAAGAGTTTAATCTTGTGCACTCTTGTTTTTCCAAGTGTGCTGCGTCATTTAAAGACTAGAAAAAATTCTTCTATCATAAATCACGAGGCTAAAAACCCACCACCGTTATTTACACCAAGAATAATCTTGTTATCGCCGATTTCCTGCCGTTTTTCAGCGGAAATTTGAAGCTAATCCGGCGGAATCTGGCAAATCTCCTGTACTGTTGGCCGGTCATGTCTGGTGGTCTTTACAAAGTAACACGCAATGAACAACATTCCTGCCTAAAATAAACCTCTTTTATTTTTACTCGTCCCCTAAACTTTAATTCTAGCTAGGAATGTGTACACACTGACTTATCAAACGATCAGCCTTTAGATACGGGATTATTACCCAGGCTTAGAGCAACTATAACACTGTTTTAGCTTCAGCTCCTTTAAACCTAAAAGTATTCAAAATGGCGCCTTGTGGCAATTCAAATTTTGGAGCCTTGAGTGCGTGTCAAGAATAAAAAATTCCATTCAAAAAAATTATTATTGCGATTTTCTGCTACTCGTATTGTCTTTCATCGCTTAAATTCGACTTGGAGGGTGTTTGAACCCAATACTCCGTAAAACTAAGTGAAACTAATGAAATATAATCCATCAACGGTCATACCAATATGAACGAAATCATAGAAAAATTTTGGATCTTTGGTTAAGTTTTGAGAAGAAATCAACTCTGGATTGGTTTTTTTTGTCTTTCTTAGGCTAAGGTTTTCAAACCGGCGTCCTGCCAGCTTAAGCAAACTGCCAACCAGTTAACCATAAACAGATGATACTCTATAACTGAAAACGGGGAAAAAACGGCTCCCTCTCTATCCAAATGAAAAACGGTTTTTGCAAGCTAAGTGATAGCTAACCATATCGGCTGATAATGCAGAAACATCGAGTTGGAAAGTTTGGGTCTTTGTCGGTCTTTAGAAGCACTTAGGAATACTTAAAGAAGATGAGTTCCTGGCTCCGCGAGGGAAGTGCGTACTGACAAAATCCAGAAGAGACTATTAGAAGTTGGTAGATTGCCAGTATAGACCACTGAAGAGCCTTGTATTAAATGATTCCCACTTCCGCTGATATATCAGTGCATAAAACGTATACTAACCCACATGATCCAATAAACTCATTATCCTCTATTTACTGCGGCCTTTCTGCGAGTGAAATCTCACTTCCAGACTTTGAACTTTGTTCGATCGATACCCCCTTAACTTCACCCCTGAAACACCTTGTTTGTTTCTTGATAGTCTGTCGAAATTGAGTGATACTTTGGCTGGATTCTACACGACAGGAAGTAATAAATCTGGGTGTTTACTTGCTCGGAAAATTTAAAAGGTGCTTTATATTTTTTTAAACTGGCTTATCAGCGGGTGTTAATTTCATTGTTCTACTGTATTCACGTTCAATCATGTTTACAAGTTTACGGATTATAAATTCTGTAGAATGCATTTGGCCAATTATAGCTTACTTCTTAAAACAGTATTTGATATTTTAAGTGTTTATTACAGTGGTTGTGAGATGTAAATTTTAATTTGACTGTCTATATTTAAAACCCGAAGATTGTGTTAACCCATTGTATAGCCCTAAAAGCCATAGAGAGTCTGTTGGAGAATACCATTCAATGTGGCTAAGACAGTATACAAGGTTATTTCCGCCCTGTTTGAAATCTGTGAATAAATAAAATAAACAAAGCGTCGAGGGAAACCGAGAAACTGAGAATTTACATTAATCATTATTGATTTTCGCTACATGAAAGGGAAGGTTCTAGCGAAGGTCGAGGGAATAAATTGTAGCAGAATAGCTCGGGCTGAGTTTTTGTATGAAAATGGGATTGAGTAGCTAAAAATCAGCTACTGTTTATTTTGAGTCAGTTTCATGTAATGAAAATCCATCGCTCTTTTCGTTTCATTTTAAGAACGAGTAACGACGCAGCGTATTCAGTACAGCAATGAAACAACGACGCGCAAATTTCTAGTGGGGACGAAGGAAAGTTCTGGAACGTTTTTCAAACTAACTTTACGTTCATTTTTCCACTCCAATACTGCTCACTTCCGAACACTTAACAGCCATCAAATATTGAATTACAATACCGAGCGGTAATGCAACTGAAAAAGCTCAATCTACTCTTGGCAAGCACAAAAGCAATATCCGGGCATATCAAAGAACTTGTCTTTAGCTTGAAAGTTGTGTTATCATGACATCCTTTTTTAATTAGGTCTGTGACATAGATGAGACGCCTTGTTATAATGTGATACTGTGAAAAGTCTTAATTCACTTACATATGTTGCTGCTATGATATTAAGCTTAGGTGTGTCTTCCCTCTTTGCCGAAATACTTTTGACGGCTAGCGAGATTAACGACTTAAAAACACTGTGATCAATATAAGGTTGGCCATTTTGCGATCAACAGTTAATAAATTTGTCACATTCCAGGGATTTAAACTTGGGTAATAAAAAGCAACCGCTTTATACTGTTTTTTGATTAACTTTTGTCGGTCTTGGAGCTGTAAGTGGTTACAAAACTGTTTCTGAAAGAGTTGAGGTCACAACCACACCCTTTCCGAGGGGGAGGGGAGGGTATTTACGAAGTGATTTCTACCCTTCTGTATCACGTAACAAGGATGAAAGTTCAACGTCAGTAAGGAAAAAGACCCTCGCTGCTTTATAGAACATTAATATTCATCTTTGAAATTCTGAAGTAATATTGTACATTCAGTATCGTTAACACGCTCCGGAAACAACAGATCAGTTCCAGTGACGTATCATTTCCGTGTTCTTGATGTTAACCTCTATCAATCTTGACCAGCTACTAAATTCTCAGATCTATGCTTTACATTTTATATGGCATTACGTGAGGAGATTAAATCTAACGATGGAACTACAGAACCTCGTCAGTGAGAGTATTAGGACCTCACAAGCAATTCTCCCAGCTAGTAGCTCCACGTTTCCTTATAAAAAAGAGAGAGAGTTTGTTGCTAAGCCATGATAACAACCTTTATACAGCTGAAAAGTTTATCGTGTGTAGTAAACTGTTTAGAGTGGAGAAAGGTGAGCGGTGAAAGAGACGGTCGCAACGCTTCCTGACCCCACCGTTAGACGGCGTGCTGTGTTAGCAGCAGCACGCCGGCGGCACGCGCCAATATCTATGACTGGAATTTGTTATCTTCACTCTCCATCTTAAGATAAGCTGATTATCAACACTATCACAAGCCAAAGTTTTGACATTATCGATATTGTTAACAACAACGCGCGGGCCAAGATTGCCTGCCTGTGAATGTTTGCTGCAGCGAGTCATTGAGTCGCGTTCGGCATCGATTGCCAGTTTTTCTGATGTACAGATTAAAATTGTGGATAAGGTGGAAAGGTTTCATGAAATCAAACGTCTATTTGTACTCCGTGCACACTGTTCTGCACCCCCCAGCAAGGAAAGTAAAATTTCTATATTTTAGGGGGGTGAGACATACTTAATTGGATCAGTATATGGAGGGAGCTCTGTAGTGAAACTTCCCTTCGCAAGCTGGCTTAAATTTTGCAAGACCACCCGCATATGTTATCAGCAGCCTTATTTTTAAGACGTTTCTAATTTTCTTCTCCAATGCACTGCAAATGTCTAAAAAGGCTTTATACAGAGCGTTGCTGATCAGAGTTCAACGACCCGCTGTAATTTGTTCCACACGAACTGATTATCAGCAAAACAATTCATCGCATAACTGAACAACAAAAATCTGCCCGGACAAATTCGTTATAGAAATGTTGAAAAAACGCTGAGTATTCTCCTCTGATGATCTGATGTTAACAGAAAAAATTTTAATGATAGTTAGAAACGAATTTCAAAATAGGTTTAACAACCTGATTGAAAGGTTAAGCCTACAAAGAGACTTCGAATTAAATGGGTTTGAAGCGACCGTGGGAACATTCCTTTGCTTTATTGTGTTCTTCTGTTCCCTTGTGGTATGATCCCTCATCTAAACAATCCCACAATAGAAACTCAAATCTTATGAAAACATCTTACATAATGGGCAACTCAACTCCGCCAAGCACGTGGGAAGGGGTCGAATTAACGACGATGTTTACACATATTCACGAGCAAAAGCCTGCTACTGTGTTAAGGGGGCAACACCTTTGAAATCACGACATAAACAGACAGTTTGAAAAGAATAAACCCACTTGAGGGGACACCACTGGGCACGAGAACTCTAAAAGATTACTTCTATCGGCGCGCGCTAAGTTGAAGTTCCACAAAGTAAGTCGCGCGACTTGTTAATTGCAAGAAGCTATTGAGATATTCAGACCAATCGCATGCAATGTTCTCACGCCCTCAACGCACCACTGAAGCTCAAGAGCCTGTCATACAACTTAACCCCGTGACCTTTCGCGTTGTCTTCCAATCAGCGCAGAGCATTCCCACGGTCCGGCATCAGAGAAGCCTTTGTTTACTGTTCCAGCTATTGAATATGAATAGCTGTTTGTAAATAAGTGCGAGAGTTGACACACGACTAAGGATTTTTTCCCACGGTGCGAACTATAAAAAGAATATTAAAACACGCATGCCGGTTGCTTGTATTACGCCCTAGGGTCGGTTAGAAGCGTGCCGAAGTATTTTATACTGCCACAAGTGAGCGGATCGCACGCGTAAACTTGACAGCACAAATGGATGTAGAAATTTTAAAACCCGTTATGAATGCTCAACGCAGTGCTAAAAAGGAAACAAAGAAGGTATCTTGAAGAAGTAGTCATAGCTTTTTAATTCACAACTCGCTATTGTACATTTAGTTACATGTTATAGGGCTCCTTAAATTTCAAAATATGGTTGCAAATGTGGATTTTAATCGGCAATTCCCACCGCAAATGTGTATTTTGCTCAGAGAGAGTAATTATTCTTTTCTCGAAAAATTGAAATAATTAATTAAAAGAAAAGTTTGTTTTGCCTTGCAGTCTAAAAAACCACTTATGGAAAAGATGCGTCGAGCAAGAATTAATGACAGTCTGAACGAATTGAAAACTCTTGTATTGGAGGCGATGAAAAAAGACGTAAGTATTAGAAAATTCACATTGAAAAATAAATCATTATTTGGTTTCAGTATTCTTATCTTCTGTCTTTTCCAACAGGTGTCAAGGTATTCCAAAATGGAAAAGGCCGATATTCTGGAAATGACTGTGAAATACCTTCGCTCATTGAACACTGAGAGGACTTTGCATATTAAGCAACACCAAGGTAAGGCAGTAAAACGCATCGTTCACTACATTCAACTAGCAATTTTAACATTAAATATGTTCAGCCAGCTACTTTTTGAATTTTTTGCATCCTGGCCTACGTTGATTTACTTTTCTCCGTCACATCGTACTAAAAACTTTTTAATTTCTTTGAGATCTTCGAAAACGTTATTTTAAACAAACACAAAATTTATTTTCTCTTTAGCAACAAGCTCGAACAAATGAACTACTAATCATCTTTCAACGCTAACAGCCTGAGAGAGTAACGTTCTTTAATTGGGTTGATCTTTGTTCCTCGATCTTATCTTAAATCACACCTCACCGATTCTTTTGTCGAGAATTCAACACGTAGCTTGCACACCACTTTATGATTTTTTATTTCATAACCTTTTTTCACTTTTATTTTACCGGTGCTGGTGAGTAAAAGCTTTTCGAGCCTTTTTGATGTTGGCACTGTGAAATTTTAACGAGATGGTTAAACCTCAGAATTCCGAAGGCATCAAACATTCCGCCCACATCCATCAAAATCGGAGGTGCCAATTAAGAATGTTAAGTGCTAGGGATTTGAAATATGATACTTATCATGGGCATCTTTTTTTTTTTCCTTCGCAGAAGACGCTTCTGCAATCGCTAAGTATCGAGCAGGGTTTAACGAGTGCGCTGCCAAAGTTTCTCAATTCCTGATGACAGCAGACAATATTACTGTCCCGGTTCGCACACAGCTTCTATCACACTTAGCGTCAACCTGTCAGCAGCAAAAAGACCCTCATCATTCCCCCACCGATATGTCAGTCTCGCGACAACAAGCCCACGCAACGCTGTCGTCATCTTTTCCCGCCACTAAACCAAAAGTTGGCGCGAACACGGCTTTCGCCGACGGAAGTATGGCAACAAAATTCCCTTCACCACCTTCGTCACCTCTTCACAACCATTCAGAAAGGAAATTACTGCCTTTTCCGCCAACGATGTCGCCCTCTATGTCACCCTTTATGCTTAGTAATGGTATTCCAGCCTTGATCTTACCAAATGACACTGCATTGCAACTTCTACCTTTAACCTTACCCGCAAATGCCTCTACTGCATTCGACACATCTTTGTGGAGACCTTGGTGACGCTAGCTCAGCGTTACAATCAATTTTTTCGGTATCATGTACCTATCTCAAATTGCTTTCCGAGCGGAAATGAATTTCTGGAGTGTCTTTAAAATGAGGGTCGCTTGGATTAGTCGAGCTATTAAAACTACTGAATATTTATTAAGAATTGTGCTAGAGGTATATATAATTTTTGCAACGAAAAGCTATGTATAATTACGAATAAAATATAACTTGAATACGTGAAGACGTCAGCAATGCGTTTGGTGATGATGTATCGTTTTCCACATTTTACAGTCGCAAGCAGCATCGGAATGAAGATAGAAATAACTAATATTATCCTCACTTAATATCTCATGAAAAATGTGTCATTATTGGACTTAATTTCACAAGCTTGTTTTAAAATGATTTGAAGAGAATTCACAGAAAAATGTTACAGTTTAGAAGACTCCATGCTTAGATTACCCAGTCTTTGAATCGAAAAATCGTTCTTGGATTAATTAGACCATACAATTTTCTTGAAAAAGTCCAGCATAACTTGATTAACAAGCTGTCCTGCTCATTTTTGATTGCCCTTTGTTTTGTGTTGGTCAAAGAATGTGGGGTAATGCAGTCAATTAGTCTTAATTGGCAAATTTCTTTTGGCGTAAAGAAGCGGTTTAGAATATTTAATGGTAACCAATTTTTTACAGCGTTTTTTTGCTAATCCGACATGTCTGCGACATTAGGTCTGTTGTGCAGGCGGCAGTTTAATCATAAAAAGTCGGCAGTGGAGATTAGCAGGTCAATTCAGCATCAGCTGCTGCCAAGATGGGTAATTTCAATTAAAAGCAAAATTTGTCTATCACTTTACAAGTATCTGCAGTAATCCTGTCGAACGGAAGAGGCTTTCAATCCAGAGTCAACACAAAAATCTGCAGTTTTGCCTTTTTGCCGGTGCTTACCCCGAAACTATCACATACAACCTCTTAACTGACTCTAGGCATGTTTTGTATCAAACAAATCTTTTCTGTGCTCAATTTAGTTAAAGCATATTGAAGGTTTAGGAGAAGAGGTAAGGAAAAAAAGTCAAACTTGCAGACCGCACTCCAAACACTGCTGAATGTTTATGGCAGTCATGAGGTTAGCAATTTCACCGTTGCCGTAAAACAGTAAAGATATAACTCAAAGATGAAAAGAAGACTGTAAGAGTTCTGGATTTAATTAAATAATTCAATTCCAAAATTATTGACCTCAGCGACTGCACAACACAGCCATTTGGGCTTCAAGTTGACTCTCGGACTTTGTTGTTGGAGTTCTGGACGACCACACTGATTTAATTCCAAATTATTGACTCCAGCGACTGCACAACGCAGCCATTTGGGCTTCAAGTTGACTCTCGGACTTTTGCTGTTGGTACGACAGTCAGTGAAGGGTTCTTAGGGAAATATACTTTACAACTGAGCCTTAATGTAATGGAAAATTATTGCTTTTAAAATGTTGTTGCTATTATTTGAGTAGAAAATACCAGCTACTGTTGTATACAAATGGTGTGTTAAGTGGCTCCTTTGAATTTGTTTCTTAAAAAAACTATAAGCTGAGCTTAGAAAACTAGTTTCATTCAAATTTTTCTAGATTCAAGAGGACGAATCTATAAGAGTTGTTTTAATGCATAAAAAAGGTGAAAGAATCGTTTTGACGATATTTCAGTAGGCAAGGTATAAAAACACAACTCTGTGGCCTGCAGATGCACTCTCCAATATCTCATTGCCGCCTCTTTCAGAAAGCCGAATTCAAAGGAATTTGAACAAAACGGAACAAAGAACTGCACATGCCTGTGCTTTTCTTTTTCATTTTTTCACGTAAGACTGAGTTCCTGTGAAGCTACAAGCTAAGCTGAATGTTTTTCCCAAGTAGCTGTTTGCTTGTAACAATTACACTGTTTATTTCAACCCCGCTAAGAACTCCTGTAGATATTCATTCCGCATCAGCGCCCTTAGCATTAATAAAACAATAACTGATCTTTCTTTTGGACTGTCACACGGGTATCAGATTTTTGGGAAGTGGTACGCACCAATTAAGAGACAGGTCAAACATCTGAACCGTAATCTCGTCTGCGCTTCAACAAATCCTTGTTTATTGAGCGGCTTTCTCAAATACAGAATTTATTGTGTCGAAAAGGATTAGTAGCCTGGCACGAAAGTGAACGAGAAAACATTCATTTCTTGCTTGTTAATAAGTTGTTTGTTGATGTCGGTGAGTTTCTAATGCCTGGCTCACCTTTTGAAAGGAGATGTTTGGTTATAATAACACTGATATTATATCAAACGTCACAGACTTCCCGCTCTAGAAAGTAAACTTGAAAAGAAAATATTTCGTAATCTCAAATCCGTTTGCATTCTTGTGTGAGTCGAAAGCACGACCAAGGTTGGTAATTCCTTCAAGAAAACGGCATTTGATGGACTCTAGAGCACGACAGAAGACTTGCGGTTTTATGTCGTAAAAACGGCACGCGAGCCGCGCTCAGCGCACGCTTACTAGAGCGCACTTTTCAACGCGTATGAAACGCTTGAATAATGTTGTCAAGAACTAATTTCAAGTGTCTTTGCTATTTATGCCTATTTTGCAGAAAAAAAAAAACTTTCGTTTGAAACTGGGACAAATACCTATTGAAGACCTAACTTAGTTGGAACTGTGCGGTAGCGTCGAATCAGAGCTCAATAAACTTACATCATTTAATTCTACTGTTATTGATCGTCAATAAAGGTACCTCCAAATTTTGGCACAAACTAACAAACATCAATGCCCTTACAAATCTTCAAATCTACTTAACCCGTTTTCAAGACTTTTTAGCAGCACAAGCCGCCACTTTCAGAACTGCAGAACGATCGCAAAAATCATAGTATTCCTTTTAAAACAATTTAATGGACAAACGGCTATGTTGTCTCACAAAATTTTCAAGCACAAAAAAATGCTTTATGGTAAAGAGGCCACACGACTGAATTCAGTATGTATGACCGATCTCTCATCTCCCGCGCTCCCACGAATTTGTTAACTATTTAGGGGAATTTTCAGAGGAATCCATAAGACTTCCTTTTGATGTCAACGTCTCTGAATCGCTTATTTAGCGGCGGAGAATGTGGCTGTTTGGGTTCAAAGAAATTCCATTCCTCATTGATGAAACATTTAGCAATAATTTACCGGAACTAAAACAAAGTGGTTGAAAACAATAACATATCTGTCACTTTGCGATTGTATTGATAAATGAGACTGAACTTTATGAACTGTAAACCACACGGCTTGTCTGAGAAAAGGTGATATTACCCTTCTGATAAAAGTCGGATACGGTATTTGTAGACTTCTCGCGGGTGGCAAACGTGAATTTACACACGTCAGCTTTACTCGTCACATATATTTGCTTCTTTTGAAAATCATTTGCCGATGTAATTAATACGCTTAAACATTTTCTAATGATAGAGCAAAGCATGCTAAGCCGAGACGGACAAGATTTAATATTTAGCCGCCCAAGTCTTTGGAATTTTAATTCCGAAATTTGATTTGTAATGACAAGTTCCGCTTTTGCTTTCCTGTCTGCGTGGGGTGGCACGTGTCAGGAGATATTTTGTTGTCAGTTGCGAATCAAAAAATATTTTTCTCCTGAACCAGACAAAAAACAACCGAAATCGAAGCCATACCCAATGCCCTTTGACCATGCCTTGAAAACATTTTCTTAATAATCTTGACATAAGAGCCCTTCAAAGCGCACTTAGAGTTTACTTAGTTCCATTTAGTGTTCTCGTGGTTGTGTTTTAACATGACAAAACTCCAACAGCGTGAATAATAACGCATAGATAGTGAAAAAATGTTCTTTATTCTAAGACCGTGGGAAAGATCCGAGTTCTATTGTCATGAAAATCCACCATGTAAACCGCAGAGTAATTCTTGCGCCGAGACAATCCAAGTACAAATGAAAGAAGTGACAATGGATTTGGACGCCGTGAAAAGAAGTAGCACGTGCATGTCATTTTACGCTCTACTAGCGACTCCTCATTTAAATACAGTTGTGTAAATGAGTGTCTAAACGCCCCGCAGGAAAACCATTAAAAACTTATCACGTTTTCAACACGTCAGTGCGATAACCTCGTGGCAGAGAAATATGTCAAGGAGACTAGACAATCTTCCGTTGAAAAATGATTCTCTTCTGTTTGGCCTCTCCGCGGTCTTTCAGCGAGGCACTCCAAATGTAGATCTTTTGTTTTCAGCTTGTGTATACTGTCTTTTTTGTAAGTAATTCAACACAGGCGCTGCTTGTGCTCTCAGCCAATCAGTGTGGACCGGTCTCACGCTCGTCACGAGCGGATGGCGACGTTTAAGCTTTGTTCCTGCAGTTTGTCGTGCGACTCAAGAAACTGACCAATCAGAAGAGACTGTTCCCACGACCTACCTATTGTAAAGGTCAGTTGTATTGTTCTCAGCTGTTATGGTTATTGTCCTTGTAAATGCGAGGGTAAATATTTGCGATTGATGACACAAGGCCGAAAGAATTTTCCCACGGAGGCTGCCATAAAAAGTGAATGTTTGGCACACGACCGCCACACGCAAATTGCGCTCGATCAGTACACAGCTAAGGTCACAATTTTTCAACTCGATCCAAGATGGCGACAGCAAATTTCTGCAATCAACCTTCGGACTACGTCAGCAAAATTTTGAGTGAAAAACGAAAGGTGGGCTAAATTCTGTTCTGCGTCAATTACTGAACAGCGCAATATTTATAAACATTTTATACCTATCATATCACTTGTGAATGATGTTTAATCAAATGTTATTATATTCCCCAGGCGAAAAAACCTCTCATGGAGAAAATGAGACGAGCAAGGATTAATGACAGCCTGAATGAGTTGAAAACTCTTATTCTCGAAGCATTGAATAAAGATGTGAGTTACTAATCTGTAAAATACTAATTTGTAAGATTTGAATTCGTCCAGCTGACGTTGTTTAGGATTCATTGGAGAATATTTACTTACAATTAATTTCACATTATTTTTTAAGGCATCTCGGTATTCGAAAATGGAGAAAGCTGATGTTTTAGAAATGACAGTTCATTATCTACGGGAACGTAAAAGATTGGAGCAAAAACACCAAGGTATTTTTATTAATAATTTGTCTTAAGATCGTTTGTAATAAATACTGTTTAAGTCTATCTTTGTCACCAGTCATTAAAGAGATGATTTATCATCAATATTTATATGTCAAATATCCAACGATTCATTTTTTAGAACAGAAATTCGACTTTAGGGATTTGTTTTTCTAGATCAATTTCCCATCCCAAATTTTAAACTAGGTTGTGTCGAAGTTTCATCACTCCTTAAGATGAACGATTCGTTTTTTTTTTTGTCTGTTTGTTCGTTTTTTTCCCGTGACCTCGACAGTTACACATCTTCTCCTGAGGGAGAGTCACTGACTGGTCGATCACTATGCTTATAGTCGAGTGTGACTCATGAAAAATCACTTTCATCTTTCAGCACTGGATACCGCTAATTTGCCAGAATTCAGAGCAAATTACTTGCAATGTTCTGCGGAGCTCTCCAGGAAAATGACGTCATTCGAAGCCAATGATGAACTTAGAGAAAATTTCCTCGCGCATGTCGCATCGCGTTGCCAAGGAAACGTCCCAAACGCTGTCCCTGTCTTTAGCCCGGATAATCTTCGGTACATGGCACCCTTAAAACCTGTCATGATCCCTTTTCCGTCTCCTCCACCATCTCCACTTCAAGTTTCACCTGTTTTATCGGTTTCTTCGAGCGGTGTGACTCGTGATTTATCGCCTGCTTCGACGTGCAGAACACGAGATCCGGGATTTAACATCTCTTATCAGCAACAACCTAGGCATATGACTCCGGCTCAAAGCGCTACTCTTTGGAGGCCATGGTAGATAAATGAATATAAACTCTGCTGACTTATTCAGGATTAATCTGAGAATCACTTCACCTTTTGAGTTGCCATGAAAGTTATATTTTTGTACTGAATCGAATCAAATATGTAAATAATAACCTTGTACAAAAGGTTTGTGTATACGAGAGAAATTGTAAAAAGAAACATATGTATATTATAAAGTTTGAGGAAAAACATATTTTTACTACTGAAAGTTTATACAGAAAAATGTGTTCACAATAAAGATAACTATTAAATCAAATACTAATGACTTGTTTTGCTCGCAATTTCTTTTTGTTTTGCAAACAAAAGACGTAATCCTTTAGAAAAGTTATAAAGTCTTGACGAGCTCTCGAGTGCGTCTCAGACTTGTCGACAACCTTTTTAGTGATAAGCTCAAACTCTGTATGGTGTTTTCGACCCTTGATCGAAAGTGGAATTGTTTGGGAGTTTTTTGTTCCGTATATTTCTTCACCATGTGCCTTCAAACCTTGAAACGGAAACACGAGGTTGTCATGAATACCTTAGCCTTGATTAACTTGAATACTCTTGTACCTTTACAATTGTTTTGGTATTTCCGTTCAGTGCACGCGATTCCTAAAAGAGGAAAAGGATAAGAAGCTTTTGTGCTATATATGGTCACAAAATTTCGATTGTCTTTGAGTCAGTCATGTTATTGCATCCGATAAAGTTTGTTCCGCTCTCAATAGGCACCTACTTCAACTGGATGAAATTTCGTATCGACTGAGTGATTAGGACTTTTAGCTTATCAGAAACGATTTGTTAGGAAGATAAAGTTTTGCGGCGTTGCACGTTTAAGAACCATCTCATATCCTATTGTGTGATCCAATCGTACAAGTTCAAATTCTTTTGAAGTTTGCTTCAGTTTTTTTCTGAAAAATAACCATATATTCTCCTGTTTTCACAGTCTTTATTCTGTATTCACATTCAGTTGTTCCGTCGACCAACAGGATTTCTGAATGCTGAAATACGAATACTTTTGCTACGAATACTACTGGCTCGCAACGCTAAAATCTTGAGCAATTCGCCGGTAAATGAGATATAACAAACATGTGTTTCGCGAAGAATCTCCAAAGAACACGAGAAACAGCTTTAAAACGATTAAGAGGATATTAAATACACTTCTTTTCAATCCTTAATTATATGAAGGCAGACAAGCTAGGGGGGTCAAAGTATCTTTCCAACTAAGCGGATTTGAACTTCCACAAGTTGTTACGAGGGACGCTTTTCTCTCTTCCAATCAAAATCAGCATTTTATACCAAATTTCGAAACTTACATTTCTGTCCAAGATTAAATTAAGCATTGAATTTTCTTTCCGCCATTTTAAATCTTGTTTTCATTTTAAACAGTTATGCGAAACTCGACAGTTATATTAAGTGTCATGTTAATGGCGTTCTTATAATACTTCCGTTATCAGTTTCCACAGTTCAGGCGGACACAATATAACGAAAAAAAAAATAGAATATAATATGGCAATCGTAGTGATATTTGTGAAAACAATGATTTCGGGCAAAAAGATACCGTTTCTTTATTAACTTTGACATGATACAGCGGGAATGTAAAACGAAAAAACAGGAAACTAATCTCGATTGAGTGCAACTCCTACGGAGCTAAATGACAATCCCAGAAAGCGTCAAAAGGCGCTCTCTGAAAAACCAGCATCTCGTGTTTCATGTTTAGCCGTAATATTTCTCTTAAAAATGAAACCGCCGGTATACCACGGGGAAAAAGTTAGAATACATTATTTTAATCTCTTTACACTTCTTCCGTACTTTTTCCTTCGTTGAAAATCTCAAAACTCGCCAAATATCAATTCGGTTGCTCTCAGTCCTTGTAAGACCATCTACAGAGTTCCAACACAGTTTAGATTTGCTGGAAAAGAGCTCCAGATCGAAGGACGCCGCAATGACTGGTTAGTGAGAGGACGCAACAGATAGCAGATTGAAGACGAAGAAGATTTGTATCTCCTTTCTTGAATGCTACGCAAATGTAACTCTTGCTTTTGTACAGCGTCAGTGTGTACAAAACTAATGGACTCCCGGTCAATTGAAATGACTATAAAAATTAGGAAGATTATTTTTTTTAACATACCAGTATATAAACATAACATCCAAATTCAAATAGCTTAAAAGTAGAGGTAAAACTGCCACAACAGCATTTTCACCCTGCGGGCCGCTTTCTGGTTCTAAGGATCGAGGTAAAATCAGAAATGTGGGTGAAACCGTTTGAAATCAAATTCACATGGTTACAGAAATAGTTCCACATTATTTTTTTCGGCTTTATTGATTATCTGTATGGATGATCGGTGATTTTTAACCGGAACTTCTTTACACAATGAGAATTGGTTCTGTAGAAGTTGCCGTAAGCTCTTAGCGAAGCTTTACAGGTGCCCAATTCAGTTTTTCGTGCGCGTGATACCTGCCAAAACAGACTCTATTGATCCTTACCACCAAGAGAGCTTAAGCTTACTACAAAAGATAATTACATACACTTTGGCACAATAGTGAGCAATGAACCGCACCATATGAAAGTACTGTTCGTCAGCTTTCGTATAGACGTTTACACACACTGGGGTTTCATCGACAGACTTTAATGCTAATTTCGGAGTCACTCTGCAAAACCACAAGAAAGCGCTGCTCAACATGTTCAGCTTTAATTTGACTAGAGACACGCTTGGACTTTTGAGTTCGAACCACTTTGTTCACAGCATGATGAACAGTTCCACCTGAAAAAAAAAAAAACTTTTCGCAGCTTGCATTTGAATAATCACACAGTAGTAATTTATCGACAGGCTTTTGAGTTGTAAGCACTTTGTATACAGCATAATAAACAGTTCCACATAAAGAAACTGCCCCGCAGCTTTCATTTGAATGGTAACCCACGCCAGTGCTCGGCTTTTACCCACAAATTTTACAGTCAGAATCACCTTGTGAAGAGTAATAAACAGTACCACGGAATGGAAGGACTGTTAAAAAGCTTTCATTTGAATTCACAATATACGCTTTTAACAATAAAGTAAAAAAGACTCATCAGCTGAGCTTTAAGTTAATATAAAGATTCACATGGTGGTATTTCGTTCACAAACCAAAAAGTTTCAATTGCCTTGTAGGATATAACTTTTCAAAAAGTGTCAAAGGTCCGACAGTGACTGTCATCTATAAGTCCAAAGCTGGAGCCATTGTGTACAGCATTACCAGGATTTTCGGGGGTTTGCAAATTGTGAAATAATTTCCTTAAAATTCCGGACACCAGCTAAAAGCAACGTCAACAACCAGAAATTAAACAGAGCCACCTGAAAAATTCATTCTTGACTTAAAAGGAGACCTGCTAAAGCTTATTCGAACTCATTAAAGCGATTGCAAAAAAGGCAGTCTATATCAACACGTGTCTCAGTTCTTGTGCCATGTTCACAGGCAGTTACTACAAATGTCTCGAAATATCAGCTCACTTAGTCTGTGTTACGGGAACGGAGAGTTAAAACGAAACTTTAAAACCAGTGCTATCCGTGAAGAATTGTCACTTACCAAGTATCAATGGCTAATTACACTACAGAAGGTGCATTAAAGGTGCCCATGTTATGTCACGCTATTCAATAGGGCACATTGTGAATGGGCGAATTATCTTGTTTAATCTAGACAGTTCTATGGATCGTGAACTTCGAAAAAGGCGAAACTTGAATCTTGAGCGCAGTTTAACACTCGGAATCCCGGCAGATGTATTGCTAGTTAATTTGGCCAAGCTGTAGGTTTTGACCCACTACAAAGGTTCATTAACGTTTTTTGTGTGTTTTGTTTTCATTTTAAATTCAATTATTTAGAAATCTTTATTAGATTTGCAGACCAGTCGACAAGTGTCAGTACCGCCTCAATAAAACTTACTCAGCAAAACCTGCCGCAGCTGGTACTGCATGACAAGCCAGTTAATATCCCACCCGTGCCAAACGCATTTTTAACATCTGCCCGGGTAAGGGCGCGCTGTCAAATTAATCAGTACCACAGAGCTGCGTCGCCTCGGAAGATCAATGCTTATTGTTATTATCGGGTTCACAGGAAAATATGCGGAAAATATTTACCATTTTGTAAAAGATGTATGGTTTGAAACCTGTTTGTTGACTTTACAGACCACGTTGCTAATATTGGCTGTTACCTAGGTGAAAAGTTCGAAAACGATTAGCCTTGAAGCTGTATTGCATGCCAAAGCATGAAATACGAGGAATTATTTCTTCCTGATTGGTTTTCGTTTAATCCCCCGAAAGCTTAGTGAAAAAAAGAAATTATATTGGACGCAATTTTAGTGACAACTTCTTTTTTTAAAAAGGACTTAATGATGATCACCAGTATTCGAAAGAGCCGTCAAAAGGTCATCGGTTTAAAGACTTTCTTTGTTTATGAATCCTTAGATGTTACAACAAAAAGCGACGCTTATTTTATATTCAAGAACAAAGAAGATGTCAAACAACAGAAGGTCTAACTTCTGTTAAGTACGCTAAAGTAACGAATTCTATCTTAAGACTTTATACAATTTGGAAGGAATGGGTTTGGTGGAACTCTATCCGACTACCTTCGAGCTCTTCACTGCTGTTTGAAATACTTACATGTGTTAACTAGTTAAAGTGTGATTGGACAAAAGGCGAATTATGAGAAGCTTACATACAAAGAACGCATGGCCACTGCTGAATTACATGCCAGTAATTTCCAGTTCAAAACTGGAACGTATGTTTTTTTATTAGTCAAAGGGAAACCCTCTTCGAAAAAGCTTCCACGAGAGTAGTCCAAAGGTAATATTTTTCTACGTAAAAAGAAACTCAAGTTTCGAGCAAATAAAACCCACATTGCCCATCGCACGATTATACGGTCAACAAGGTGAACAAGGTGAACAATGCTTTTCACCACTTCGTCAACTTTCGCATAGCAACGTAGTGAGTTTGCACCTGCTTGGAAAATTGAAGCACCAATAACCGTCAAACAAAGATAGGACGGTTTAATTGCTCTGTTTGAGTTACTGCAAAGTAAATGAGGCACATAGTTGTGCGTCAATCTTCTACAGTTGAACAGTGCGTTTACAGGGTACAATACAAATGGCAATTAGGTGAAGTCGACTTTGCCCATAGCGGTATTAAAAGCTCATGTTAGTCCCATCAGACACACATAGGAATGCTCTTTCTTTATAACCTTCACGACTTTCGCAGTGGCTCGCGTCTT